GATAGGATTATCGAGGGTTATTACAACACAACTCGAACTTGAGCCAGGATGGCTACGGATTCTCGACCTTTAGCAAAGACATATTGCACCGAACCCACATGTTCGGCTCTAGGCTAGAACCGAACATGTGGGTTCTAGCTAGAACTTCTAGCTAAAACATCCGTACGCATGCACAACTTGTGCATGCGTACGGATGTTTTATGGCTTGTACAGCACAAGCTATTGGTAATACCTGTGGCTGTGCAAAATCTACCAACCTATAAACTTGAAGGTTATAAACTTAAAACGATAATACTAGGTGAAAGTGAGCAAAACTCATAACATCGATCTATGTTGACAGGCCCAGAAATCAAGTCTCGATCTCACCGGGCTCATCATCGCGTTCAACGTCAACCCGAGCCGAGGCACGCATCTCACGCACTGTAACCTTGAACCATCGGCGCACAGGTCGTCGCCGTTGATGGTAAACTACATCATTCAGGACTCTAAATATCATATCAGTCACACTGGGCAACTCATAGATAATCGGATCAGACGATGATGAGTCAGACCCATCAGCGCACAGAGAGATCTTTATAACCGGGAACCGCCTTTATGTCGGGTAGCCAACGTTCTCTCATGTATTTGGAGCTTCCTCGTCAAGCTTGACGCGTCTACTGGTCGAATACAAGGCTTTCTCCTTCTGAGTCTGCTGAGCAACGTGCACTCGGATGATCCGTCAATATAAGTTTGAGTAACTGCTCCTCGGAGCATCGCAACTCTATCCTATATAATATAGGCTATATTCCGAGAGCCTCCGTGCATGACCTCACAGCTGCTTGTCCTACACTTTCTGTCTCTGTGTCCGCAAAGTCAGTGTTCGGATGAGTCGCGGAGGTAGAGAGGATGCCGATTATATTGTCGTCCACAAGATGCTCTCGAAAGTACTTCCCAAGGCTTGATGAAAGGCACTGCCTGATTTTGGACCTTCTTCCACGACCATCTGATGTATCACCCAAGCCGGCCAACAATCCCTTTACTACGGGTCGAATAAGCCCGAGAATCGGAAATCGGGTCCCAGACATTGTCTGCCAGACAAAAGCTTAGTCGCATCCAGGAGATATCCCAATGCCTCGCACAGGTCTTCAATAGTTTCGTAATGCCCTGCCAGGAATTGAAACTTTTTGGAGTGCACATATAACGTGTCACGCTTTCCTCTTTTTAGACATTGTTGCTGGTATCATATCAGTGGTATGCTTCGAATAGCACACGGTTCACCCTATACCAGTTAAACAATGAGTAAGCTGAATGCGTTATTATATCCCTTGCCGGCAAGGTTATCTTACGGTTCTGATTGGTAGCACACCCCTGTAACAAATCTACAGCGTTGTTCGACTGGCGGGGAAACCATGAATTGTTTCTTGCTTTTCTGATAGCGCTGTTCCACAGTGGAACTTCCACTGCCTGCTTTGACATGAAGTCGCACCTGTCACGCCCCCTACGCCCAAGCGTAGTTTATTGATTTGTCAGTATCTCCGAGTTCTACCTCAGAATCGGAGTCGTCGCAGATAAGATCATCTAGATCCGACGAGTCGTCCTCTGCAGCCCCCGGATCAGGGTCGCAAGGCGTTCTATCTGGGTAGTCATCTGTGGTGCGTGACCAGATCTCGAGAGAGTTGCTCACTACAAGATGGAGCTTGTGTCCACAGCATAAAATGTGTGGGATATCTCATGTTTTTAACCCATTTTTCTCACGTAAATCTTTCACCATTCTCTTGTTGCTCGCTGCGGCGTTGCTTATAATAGTACCGAGTGCGATGCCGCCGTGGTTGCCTATATGGCACTTCGAGAGTATATCTTTGAGGGTTGCTGTTATATTCGCATCAGTGTGCTTCCCTTCAATTCTAGCGAAGTCGAGGAGAAAGTTACCGATCAATGTTGTGTGTAACCATGATGGCACCTGCCTTTTGCTATTCATACGACTGTCTCCGAGTATACTTACAGAGACACGAGCTCCTACTGGACCTTGACCATATGTCTAGACTCACGTTAACTCGCTTGCATGTTGACAACATACCAGACAATTAGATTCGATCATAAAGTCGGAGGCGAAAACTTTGAAGCTGCTTCAAAGTCATTATGAGGCACGGAGCCCCTTGCTCGCCGCTAAGGCATTTGAGGGCGCGAAGCCTCTTATTGCTCGAGTCTCGAGTCTCGAGCCTCGAGAAGACACTTAAGGACGCTAGGTCTCTTATTATTCAAGGAGGCACTAAGTCCCCTATTTGTCGCGAATGCACTCGAAAGCGACAAGCCTCGTTTAATTCGCGGAGGCAACAGCGGGCACTAAGGCCAGTACACCAAGAAAACTTGCAAGGGGAGGGGTATACATTGGAAGGAAAAAATGAATTGAGCTCTGGCAACTCACCTTGCCGTTGTTCAAGAATTTTTAATGCTGAATCGATCACAGGATCCATGACGATCTGCGCAAAATCCTGTGCGCAGGTTCGAATCCTCGCTCATGTATCTCTCAGAGATACATGAGCTCTGCATAGATAATCTCTGCATTTTAACGTGTCAAGCGCTGGCGCTGCCAGGCCCTTAACTAACTAAAGAGTCGAGATTTCTGAGTATGAGTACTTGAGACAGAGTCAGATTACGTAGGCATGAGCAACATGCAAGATTGATTCTTGATTTTAATCAGCCGCTGAATCCGGTTCATGATCCCTAATCACGATTTAAGATTAAAATATATACTCAATGGCTGATTCAGAGCTTTTGGCGCTGAGTCAGAGTATTTCGAGATTAAATACTCAGAGTTGAGATTCTCACTCGTGATTCGAGATTATTTCTCAGGAGTCGACACTCTTTTACTCAATCTCAAAGCTGCTCGGATTCATATCGCAATCTCACCTTGAGCGTGATCCTGGATATATTCATGATATATGAGTTCACATTTCAACACGGGGATTTTTCTTGATTCTGTACCGGAGGTCCGGACCCCCGGTACTAAACCCTGATTCTGATTCTCGACCTTGATTCACGACTTCAGCGCGTGCCACGGTAGACCTCCTCAGCTCCTTGCGAGCCAGCTCTCAGAATGACCGTCCCCGGGGATAGACCTTGGCTTCGGTAGAGTGAAAGCGCATTTCTAACCAGTTAAAGTGTGAGATCATATTTTTCAAGACTCATTTTCTCAATTCGAGCGATATCTGTCCGTCAGCCGGACACTTGGTTGGGAGTGTGGGAGAGGACCAAACACTGTGAACCGGAAGCCCGAACTCTCTCTGGGTCTTACCTTGGGCCATAGGTTCACAGATAATGTTTGATCACACTAAGTTAGCGTCACTAGCTATGTCGCCGCGACATTGTCGCGGAATATGGCCCGTTTCCTGACATATCTTTGTGTCCCCCAACCAACTGGGGAAATGACTCAAAAAAAGGAAGGAACGACTCTGGTTCATGGAAGAAACCATCTCGGTCGCACGACCTACGGACCGTAGGCTACGGTTCGATCGATAACATAAGAATATATCTGGTGTATTATAAGAAATGAGTTGGTGTATTACATCAACATATTTTTCATTTCGTGCACTTGCTTGAACTTGCTTTCTAACGAAACATTCACATAAGACAGTGCAAGGAGGTATTGCGTACGTGGTTCATATAGGCTCTTATCATACGAGCCTATATGAACCGTCATAGGTTCATAGGTCTTCTTCTTGCCAATACGTCATAAGAGTCTTATGACGACCGTGCCCGGGAATGGAATAGGTTTTGTTATTACTGTAGTGTAACGGCTCGTTACTAACGGGAAATGTTCATGTATTCAGGGCGAATCTTCCAGGATCTACCCTCACAGACTGAAGTTTTCTTTCTTCCTTTAAATTGTCACTTTCGGTTGTGAGGCGTAGTGACTAGAGTTTCGTCTTGTCAAAAATGTCTAATTCAAATTGTGGTTCCCTGATTTTCGAAAATACTCCGATTCAATAAAAATTCCATTATGGAATCACGCGAAAAATCAGCCTCATAAGCAAGGCATATTGAGAAAGAGTATCAATCAGCCAAAAAATCAACTTTAAATTCTCAAATAAGCTCGGAGATTCACACATCATCGCTATGATCCTGATTTCTCGCTCCACAGTAGAGAATCAGTGAATCAGGGGTTAATACTCACCATCTGATTTTTTCATCTGAGACTCAGATTCTGAGTAAATACTCTAATTCACCTGTTGCAGCAGGACGATCCTAATGCAACAAGTGCGGATCATCCGCTTACGGCTCCAGATTTCACACTGAAACTCCACTTCGAGATTCGCAAGCAAGCATCCAAGTAAGCATGCATCTTCATCCAAGCTTCATCATGCAAGCGTTCTCCAAATACGCGAAGATGTTTCCTCAATCATGAAACTGTGTGCCTCATTCGCCGGAGTTGAAAATTATAGGCGAGCGGTTCGCCGTGGGCCCCATATCGCAGCAACAGACACTTTCGCACAAGTTGAAATCCTTATTTGAACCGCGTCGCTAAAGTTTAGCGGCTAAACTGACTTCCTCATTCGCTAATATGATTCACTTCAGTAAACGCAAGCACTGAACCAGTGTCTGTAACCCTGTATGTAAATAATTTATAGCGACTCTATTCACCAGATAGACTTCTGAAGGGTATGGATGCGACACGACAGAGCGATCTGTGAAGCATCGATAGCTATACGCTAGCCATCAACGATGGCGCATACCGCACATATCAGCAGGGACAAGGTTAATACAAAAAAGACTCGACGACATGCTAAACCAATGTGGGTCATCTCGTGATGCATCCTCAGCAACACTGTGCCGCACGAACTTAACCGTGACCAGGAATGGCATCCTGAGGCTGACCACGAAACTGGCTTTTGCATCAAATAACATTCTTGGACCGACGCGTCTGAAATTCTCGCTGAGGAGATAAAAAATAGTCAAGATATAAAGTTAGGTGTGAACATGTATGGAAGATGTTCACCTGGGTTGTTGGTCGGGCAAAAACATCAAATGTAACCATCCCAACAATTGCCGCAATCAGCAACAAGGTTTGTGGCAGCCACTGCCACACCCAAGAAGTGGTACCAAGCAGGCAGGCGGAATAAACTTCAGTGTCTTGCAGGTTTTACACGCAGCACAAGAAAACGGCTCTCCAAGGTTGTTAGGCGAGTCTTGTTTCTGGTCGAAGTCGGATTTGTGGTCACCGCCATCATCGGCCTGCCTATTCATCATCATGTCGGGAAAGATCTTCTCGGTATCATCCACGTGAGTATCACCGTTAACAACACCCAGGACGAGCAGGATAGCCAGGATGAAAAATATCTTCATATGAATGTGAGAGAGATGATAAGCACGGCACGGCTTGAACGCTTGAGAAATACTGACAATGCCAGCCTAACATCAGCACGTTGCTCGAATTGTGCGGCCCACACAAATTGTGTGTGTGATGGCTTAACATGATAGGATCAACGAGGGTTATTACAACACAACTCGAACTTAAGCCAGGATGGCTACGGATTCTCGACACTTAGCAAGAAATATTGCACCGAACCCACATGTTCGGCTTTAGGCTAGAACCGAACATGTGTGTTCTAGCTAGAACTTCTAGCTAAAACATACGTACGCATGCACAAGCCATTGGTACGGATACCTGTGTCGCACAAGCCATTGGTAATACCTGTGGCTGTGCAAAATCTACCATACTATAAACTTGAAGGTTATAAACTTAAAACGATAATACTAGGTGAAAGAGAGCAAAACTCATAACATCGATCTATGTTGACAGGCCCAGAAATCAAGTCTCGATCTTACCGGGCTCATCATCGCATTCAACGTCAACCCGAGCCGAGGCACGCATCTCACGCACTGTAACCTTGAACCAGGGCGCACAGGTCGTCGCCGATGAGGGTAAACTACATCATACAGGACTCTAAATATCATATCAGTCACACTGGGCAGCTCATAGATAGTCGGATCAGACGATGATGAGTCAGTCCCATCAGCGCACAGAGAGATCTTTATAACCGGGAACCGCCTTTATCTCGGGTAGCCAACGTTCTCTCATGTATTTGGAGCTTCCTCGTCAAGCTTGACGCGTCTTCTGGTCGAATACAAGGCTCTCTCCTTCTGAGTCTGCTGAGCAACGTGCACTCGGATGATCCGTCAATATAAGTTTGAGTAACTGCTCCTCCTCGGAGCATCGCAACTCTATCCCACATTCCGAGAGCCTCCGTGCATGACCTCACAGCTGCTTGTCCTACACTTTCTGTCTCTGTGTCCGCGAAGTTAGTGTTCGGATGAGTCGCGCAGGTACAGAGGATGCCGATATTACTGTCGTCATCAAGATGCTCTCGAAAGTACTTCCCAAGGCTTGATGAAAGGCACTGCCTGATTTTGGACCTTCTTCCACGACCATCTGATGTATCACCCAAGCCG